AGAAAATTGCAAGTGATCCAGGAGCTAAAAATATGAAAGGAGGAAAGAACTAGAGGAGATGATTGCAACAGGAGGGTTTGTGCAATCATCTGAGGGCCAGGACTTCGACGCTGGAGTGACGGGAGGTAAGAGGGAAAATGGCCAGGTGCACAGTGGGGAAAGGGTGGCCTACAGGACACCCACTGTACCTCTAGGGCTGGGACTAGGAGGGGGTGGGAGCCAAGCGGCTTGTGCCCATGCAGCAGGGAAACAGGCCCTTTGAGCAAAACATAAAAAGCTATTCCAAGCAGAGGCAAAAGATCTAAGAATTTTGTAGGTGACGGTCTCTGTCAGTAACCTGGGCCATGTTGCTCTGTAGATCTTATGTGACTGGACAGCTACTGAACAGAGGATTTTCTACAAATGGCTCAAGAAATAAAAGGCTAAATCAGATCATTGAAGTTCTATACCCTTCACTTACATCAATGTCAGGCTTTGTGAAATAAATGGTATGGAAAGATGCTTTGATTCCTTTTCCTATTTTCTACTATATGTTTTTTTATTTTTCTGAACATTTTTATTATCTTTAACTAGTTGTACAAAGGAGTTGTTAGTCACCAAAGCAGTTCATAAATAAAGTGCATCTTGATCAATGTCACCCACCCATCCCTACCCACCCCCTCCTCACTTTTCTTAATGTTCAGATTATGTATTGAATTTTTGCCACTTAACAAAGTAGTCTATGTATACAGTGTATCTTTATCTTTTCAGTAGTTGTATAAAGATGTTTCAATTCAACCTATCTGTTTGTGAGTACAATGCATCTTGGTCAATATTACCCCTTCCGATTGTTCTCCTTCATCTCTCCCAACCCCACCCATTCCCTCTAGACCTTTCTATGTTTGTATTTTTTATTTTTTGGTCCCAGTCCTGGGGCTTGAACTCAGGGTCTGGGTCCTGAGCTTGTTTGCTTACCACATTTCCAGATTTTGAGTGGTTAATAAGAGTCTCACAAACTTTTCTGCCTGGGCTGGCTTCACACCACAATCCTCAGGTCTCGGACAACTACGTAGCTAGGATTACCAGTAAGAACCACTGGTGCCTGGCAGACCTCTCTATCTAAAACAGATTCTTCTCATTCTTTAATATTTTTAGTTTGGTTTTTTAACCCAGAAAGAAGTATGTTATGTGTAGCAGTCTAGTTGAATTCCATACAGAGGAGAAACTTCATTTGCTATGCTAAAAAGTCATTCATCAAACACAAACACCATACTAAAAGGCTGAAGTTCTATGTTAATTAATACACTTGAAAGGAAAACCAAACTGGTGAAAAAATTCCTGCAAAATTCACCCAAGGCTATGAAAACGTCTGTCAGTTTCAATTTCTGCTTTTTGCAGCTAACAAAATGCAACTTGGATACCACCCACTGGATCTTTTGTATTACTGCAATATTACCCTTTAATGACAAGTAATGGATATTTTGTGGTTCATTCATTATTATAATCTATTAGTATATACTATTTCTTTATTGTCTTCTTCATATCAGAAACATTTATAGGCTAAATCCTATAACTTCAGACACTTAGTAAATAAAAACAGTAAATAAAGCATAAAACAAAAGCTTCATTTGAAAGAAGTCAAAAATTGCCATTTCTAGACTTAGAAACATTTCTCTCTGACAGTGTTCTCAGGGGTAATAAAATCAATCATTTCATGTGCCTGCTATACTTTTGCATCTAAAACAGCTTTATGTTTGTGTGATTGTAAGCTTTAGATTTTAATTTTCACTTTCCAAAAATGGTATCATGCTGTATTTGTTTGGGAAATGGCTTTCCTTTTCGATTTGTATTAAATTACTAAAGTTCTTTCTGTAGTCTGGCTCCTATGTTTCTCCTTTACAATGCTCTATAGTGGGAATTTCCACAGCTCATGAACCCACTCGCCCTCTCTTCCACTGATGAACATTTATATTCTTTCCATATTGCCTTAAGTAAGGGGGTAATACATAACCCGGGCGAACATACATGAGAGATGCTCCCAGACATAGGATTCACATGATATGAAAATGGTCCTCCTTTTTTAGATTATGGCCAGATATCACTTCAAATGGCAACAGCAAATTACACTTCCTGAAGAAATATATAATGGATCCTTGAAAAGCCAAATCCACACTTCTATTTTCAGATTTTTAAGTTTTGTATCAAATGCTGGTGTCTTGCACCTGCAATCCTAGCTACTCAAGAGGCTGAGACATGAGGATTGGGGTTAGAAGCCAGCCCCGGAAGGAAAATCTGTAAGACTTTTATCTCCAAGTAACCACCATAAAGGTGGAAATGGAGGTATGGCTCAACTGGTCGAGTGTTACCCTTGAGCAGAAAAGTTCAGGGATGGTGCAAATGCGGGGTTCGAGCCCCCAGACAAATACAAACAAACAGAAGGAAGTCAAGCCCATGTAAAGTGGTGCTTGACACGGTCTTACTGGGATTTCCAGTGATGTCATCTATGTCATCATGGCTTTCCTGCTCATATGTCCATCTCATGTGTACAATATTGCGTCCTGTTTTCTGTCCATTTTTTGCCAGTCCTAGGGCTTGAACCCAGTGCCAGAGCACTGTCCCTGAGCTTCTCTGTGCTCAAGGCTAGCACTCTACCACTTGAGCCACAGCACCACTTCCAGTTTTTCTGTTTATGTATTACTGAGGAATTGAACCTTCATTCATGCTAGGCATGCTCTCTACCACTAAGCCATATTCCCGGCCCTTCCCTCCATTCATATGATATGACATTTATACTCCCCTTATTGCCAGAGGTCCCAGTGTGCTCTTCCTTATTTTTCTTATTTTATAATAATTTAAACAGGAAAAGTTGAGAGAAAAATACATAACATTTCCATTCATATTCTTCACCCCTAGTCTATAGCAATTAACATTTCATCTTATTTGCCTTATCATTCTCATTTGCTCCCCTCCTCACCTCTCCCTACTTCTTCTTGTTCATGAATAAATATTTTTCTGATCCTGAGAGTAAGTTTCAAATGTAATGTTACATTGAGCAGGACTTTACTGTGTAATTCTTAAAGCAAAGATGCCCTTCTACAGAGGCAAATACAACCATCAAAAATCAAGATATAAATCTAAGAGCTGGTGGCTTACTCCTGTAATCCTGGCTACTCAGGAGGCTGAGATTTTAGGATTGCAGTTCAAAGCCATCCCAGACAGAAAAGTCCATTAGCCTCTTAATTCCAATTAACCACCAAAACACCAGAAGTGGCGCTGTGGCTTAAAGTAGTAGAGATCGAGCATTGAAGGAAAAAGCTCGGGGGGACAGCACCCGGGCCAAGTTCAAGCCTCATAACCCACCAAAAAATATTAAGAGATTACACTGACATAAGTCTACAAACCTCATACACTCCATTCATATTTTGTCAACTGCTTTTTTCATGGCTTAAGATGTAATCTATGGTTACATATTGAACACTCCCGCAAGTAGTTATTATGCCTTTTATCCATCCCCATCAACCTGGAACAGATCATCTGTCTCTGTTTTTCATGGCCTCAATCTTTATTTAAGTACAGGTGATTACTTTGTAGAATGTCCTTGTTAGGAGATTTTTAATCAAAACTGGCTGGAAGTCATTCATTTGGGGCCCCAGAACATTACAGGAGTGATGGGATTTCCTTCCCAGTGCATTGTGGGGAGGCACATGGTGTTCATTTGTCTCATTATGGATGAAGTTAATATTTACTACCTGATTAATGTAGTATATGCCAAATTTCTCTATTACAGGGTTACATAATAAGAACTTGGGTTTATTGGTTAATGCAATCACACATAGATAGTGGGTTTGTATGTGCATGTTATTATCTCACTGAGTTAATGACCATAGCTTCCTATTAGTGATATCTATATTCCACAAGTATCCTACTTATTTTTTACCCTTCCATGTAAGTTGTGAAATAAGCTTAGAAAGTTGCATGATTTTGGTTTCAATGACACTGAATCAATAATTCAAGTTGCATAGAGAATGGGCATATTGTACTGTCTTTTTTTTTTCTTTTACATTTTTTTCTTTTACATTTCTTAATGATGGGTTATGTTTTCTATATGGAAATCTTCTTGAAATAATATCCCCAAGGCATTTGAACTGTTGGTTTCAGGAGCTAAAGTTCTGAGAATTAGGCCAAAAAGAAGACCGTTTTTTTTTAAATATTTGAAACTGGAATTCACCCCACACTACACTGGTGTGGGTTCAGATCAACTTGACATGGATAATTGAATAGTGAATATTTGACCTTAATAAGTATTTAAGACTGGTGGTGAAATATATTTGGCTCATAATACATCAACTAGAGCTGATGTCCCACTATTTCTTTCACTATCTCTGACCTATAATCAGTATTTCTTCTTGTGCTGGGAGAAGACTGAGGAGAAGAAGGGGAAAGAGCCCATAGCTACAATTCTATTGTCCTAAATGAGAGGTGTCTTTAGAGACTAAGACAGTATGGGTCAAAAAGGACTGTGGGAGAAAACCAGGAGGAGGAGGGTGGGAGAAGGTGTATCAGAAACAAGGTAAGAGTCAGGAGGAAAGACTGGAGTTACTATTCAAAAAGTAATGGGTCATGGTTGTCAATCATTCTATTGTGGCCAATCAACCCAATGACAAATTACCATTCACAGGGAATACTACTAGCAGGTAGCCCCCAAGACCAAGAAACAAGAAGGAAAACCTCCTCTGGTTTTGCCCATTACCAGTTACCCATGAAAGCCAAAGAGAAAACTAAGTTTTATGCAAAATTTTTAAAAAAGAAAGCAAAAGCCTTACTAGTGAGTATAAATTTGACAGCAACTATCCCATGGTCATACAGATCCAAGATGAGTTCAGAGAGGAACATTCCAGGAGGACCAACAGCTTGTGGTCTCTCGAGATTTGGCTTGATTCAAAGTCAGCATCGTATAAAACCAGGGAAACCATGGCAACTTGGCATTCCTTTGAGAGAGGGTCATCAAGAATATGAAGTTAGTTCTCGCTTCAGAAGCACATACACTAAAATTGGAATGATACAGAGAAGATTAGCATGGCTCCAGAGCAAGGATGACACGCAAATTCGTGAAGCTTTCCATATTTTTGTTGTTGTTGTTTTGTTTGAGGTAGGGATGCATGGGAAATTGGGGTTTTTAAGTCCTCGAAACACACTTGAGCACGGAAATGCAGTACTGTAAGGAAGAGGGACTTCCAGCTTACACAGACACCATCTTCAGCCGCGTGACAGGGACACTTGCGTTGGCGTTTGTAAGGCACATTAAGCATGCTAAGTGGCCGGGATCAGAACTCTCCTATCTGAACATACTGGGGAGCAAAGCAGCGGTGACATAGGATCCTGGGGGGTCTCCCGTGTAGGAATGGAACATGACTGGTCTCCTAACCAACGTGCACTGAGAAGCAATCAACGGGTCGGTCGTGGCCACTCCTGGGGAGATGTGAGTGGCAGTCTTTGGGATAACCTTCGGCCTTTTGGAGTTAGAAGAGCCTACTATTTCAGATGCACTCACTGGTGGTCATTCTTTGCAGACAGTCCTTAAGGCTGAAAACACAGAGAATGGGTATTTCAAGAGGCTTTTCTTTTAAAATAGACTTTTGTGACCCACTAATTTAAGGTATTGCAAAGCGACTTTGCATATGTCTTGAAGTTGACTTCATTATTGGTTGAAGGCCTCAGAAGTGGTGGTTTGCTTTGATGGGAGCAGCTACTACTGTGGTCTTTCCTCCTTCTTACTTTTGCTTTTTCTCCTATCTCCACCATTTCTTCTGCACAAAGATGTCTAATGTTCATCCTGAACATTTTTAAAAATGCAGAATTTTATGTGACTGATTTTTTGCCTCACAATTATGCTGTGAATTTTACAAAAATTTATTTTCTTTTTTAATAATGTATTGTACCAAAGCTGTTTTCATAGCACATAGATGTCTGTAACCAATAATGTAGCAGTTCTGCACTTCAACACAAGGTGTAACTAGACCATTTTTAAAGATCAGACCCAGAAACAAAACAAATTAAAGAAAGATTGGACAAATGGTATTGCATGAAATTGCAGAGCTTCTGCATGGCAAAGGACATAGCTAGCAAGATCAATAGAAAGCCCACAGATTGGGAGAAGATCTTCACTAGCCATATAACGGACAAGGGTCTCATATCTAAAATATACGTGGAACTCAAAAAATTAAATCCCCCAAAAACAAATCCTCAAAGAACTGCCCAATAAATAAGTGGGCTAAAGACTTACAGAGAAACTTCTCTGAAGAGGAAAGAAGGATGGCCAATAGACACATGAAGAAATACTCAACCTCTCTAGTCATGAAAGAAATGCAAATCAAAACAACACTGAGACACCACCTCACCCCAGTTAGAATGGCTATAATCAAGAACTCTAATAACAACAGATGCTGGAGGGGATGTGGACAGAAGGGAATCTTACTGCACTGTTGGTGGGAGTGTAAACTTGTCCAACCACTCTGGAAAGCAGTATGGAAGGTCCTCATAAGACTCCACATAGAGCTCCCCTATGACCCAGCAATTCCACTTTTGTAGGCATTTACCCAAATGATCACAAACAAGACCATACTAAAGCCACCAGCACAACTATGTTTATTGCAGCATTATTTACCATAGCTAAGATATGGGGCCAACCCAGATGCCCCTCAGTAGATGAATGGATCAAGAAAATGTGGTATACAGATATACAATGGAATTCTATGCCTCCATCAGAAAGAATGACATTGCCCCATTTGTTAGGAAATGGAAAGACTTGGAAAAAATTATATTAAGTGAAGTAAACCATGCCCAAAGAAACATAGGTCCCATGGTTTCCTTTATTTGCAATAACTAGTATATGTCTGAGACAAGCAGAAATGGTCAGATAAGTTGATGTTAGGGAAATGAACCCCAAGATAAGGACTCAAATTTTTTTTTCTTTCTTGCAATTGTTTCTAACATATTTATAAAATGATTTTTTTGTTGCTTTGTATGTCCCTCCCCCACGGTATAACCTCTGTTTTCACTGTATTTGATGTTGGTACAATTTGGGGAGGGGAAGGGAAAAAACAAATCATTTAAATAGGGATACAGGTGGATCCATTGCAACAATGAGATGTGTAAGACGTTATGTCAAAAAACGAACTTCACAACTTTGGCCAGTGGGGAGGGGGGAAGGAGTGAGGGGAGGGAGATGGGAAGGAATGGGAAGGGGAAACAAAGGAGAAGGCAACAATGCTTGATAAGAAATGTACTCGTTACCTTGCCCATGTAATTGTAACCCCTGTGTACAGTATTTTCACAATAAAAAAAAAGAAAAACAAAAATAACTTTTAGTCTAAATCCAAGATGTAAAAGAGTCAAGTGCTATTTTGTAACACCAGTGGGCTGCCGCCTGACTTGACAATAAAAACCAGCATGATAACGAAAGGAGGGAATGTGTAAGGCTATATCACCCATCATCATGTTGGAGACGCACTAAATCAAATTACAACTTGTAACCTGAAATTTATGTTAATATATTTTGAAGCAAGAATAACCCATTTTGACTAAAGGAAAGAATGTTTTGTTTCCTTTAAAAATATAAAGAGCCCTGATTTCAAACTAAATAAATGTCTTAAAGAAGGCATATATTTCCTGGAATTTAATTTTCTGTGATTAAATCTTTTGAGGAAGCTCTGTTGGATATTTTTATAAGACAGCTATACGGAGAATATTTCAGTGGCATATTTTGGTTCTATAGTATTTCATTCCCATCCCCAGGGTTCTCCTTGTGACATATTTCTTTAACAAGTGAGTAATATTCTAAGGAACTTTTACTGCTAATAAGGTTAAGAAAGAACATATAAAAGAGAATTACTAAGCCTCTTTAGAATGCTTCTAAGTGCTTAGTGAAGTATTTCTAAATATGCATACATAAACATTTTAAGGAAATGAGTTGGCAAACTTGTGGAGGGAAAGCCATGGAGCAATTAAGAAAGGTCCTACAGAATAACAGAGAAAGCAAAATAAATATGGCATGTCTACAAGCAGTGAAATGCAGCCAAATGTGATGTGTGTGTTTCTCTCTAAAAGTTATATGGGCCATTAAGTTCTGAATTTATATCTAGTCAGAGTAGAAACTTCGATATTAGGGATTTTACCAACTTTATCACTTTCCTCTGAATAACTCTTAGTATAAACAAGACACTCAAAATGCTAATGTATTTATTTAAATAATGTAGGCCTGTGTATATGGATTGACAAATTATACCTTTTTCTTTTTGTGGGGAAGGGGTTGGAACAGGGTCTCACTATGTTGTTTAGACTTGCTATATAGCCTACAAGCTAGCCTTGACTGGTGATCTTCCTGTCTCAGTATCTGAAGTGCTGGGATTATAGGCATATGCTACCACTTCTTTCTTGATATTTTTACTTTTCTTTTTATCTTTTCTTCTCTTCCATTTCAATTCACTCATTAAAGTTCAAATTTTAGAAAATTTTAAGGTCTCTGTCTGCTCTAATTTCCATCAGCACATCTTAGATCAAATATCAGATGCTTATTCAACAAGCTTTTTTTTTTCTTGTGGCACTGAGTTTGAACTCAGGGTCTTGTACTTGCTAGACTATTCTTCTGCCACTGAGCCACAATGTCAGCCCAACAATAGGCTTTTAACTCATTCCACTGAACCACATCTACCTGTCTCCCAACTCTGTTTTGCTTTGTTCCTCTGACAGAGAGATCTGTCTAGAACTCACACTAGATCAGGTCTTCAGCCTGCCACAGCCTTTACAGGACTGCCTACTCTTTTTGAATGACCAGCCTCTGCCTACCACCTCAGACATTTTATTTATCCTGTCCATTTATGATCGCTGTTGTGTTTATTCAAAACAACGAGTCTCAGGATCCAGCTTAAGAGCATCTAGATAGCTTTATGGTGTGTAGCCATGACAGACAGGAAGAACCAACAAGAGGCAAGCTATAAATGCTTAACTCAATCAATTCCCAAAGGATCTTAATTAACATTTACAGACTCAAAATGAGAAGCAGTAGACAATGTCCATTGTGAACTCCAATGTACATTTTGAGACTACATTGTCTACATAGCATGGAATTAAGAAAAACGTCTTGATGCTCATATTGGTCAGTGGCAAGGAAAGAATCATATCTCAGATCAAGCCAAAATTCTCTGCCCAATGAGCAGCATCCTCAGTGCACTGGAATTTTTTAAAATCTCAATTTAATTGAGATTATAATCTTGATATTTCTAAGACAGTAAAACATATACCTTTTGCTGGCATAATGAGCAAATTGGGGTATGTATACCACTAAAAATCTAGGGTGAGCATCTTATACAGTTGCTATTAATTGTGTTCCACAGTTGTTTAGGGATACATTTGTACAGTCCTATGGAGCAGACTTTATGAATAAAGTACCTTTTATCTGCAAAACCAATATTAATACTTGTGTTTTCTGTTCAAGAGTAAATATGTATTACAGTTCTGATCAGGGATGTAACTGTAACTGCTCTTATCTGAGAACTGAGAACTTATCTGAGATTCTCAGATTTCAGCCTCCTGCGTAGGTAGGATTACAGGCATGAGCCACCAGTATGCAGCAGAATTGTAACTTCAAATAGGTAGATAGGTAGATAGATAGATAGATAGATAGATAGATAGAGGTATACACATATATATATATATATATGAAGTATATATGTATATGTGTGTATGTAGTATATACATATTTCATATACATATATACAGATTATATACATCTATAATATTAGTTGTACAAAGGAGTTGCCACTCAATAAAGTAGTTTATAAAGATAATATATCTCTATCAATGTCATCTCTCCCAGTATTCTCTCCCATTCCTCCCAATCCTACCCCTTCCCTAACTTTTCTTACTTTTGTAGGATATATATTGAATTTTATGACTTCATTCTCCCCCCTCCACACACATACACTTCCCCTTTTCATTTGTCTATCTCCTCCCTTTGATACTGCCCCCATTACCTGGTGTTTATTTTGTTAAACTACGATTTAGCCTTTTTAAGAAATTACGTTGTTTGAATTCTCCCCTGAACTTGCCATATTTCATCTAATACATGTG